TTTTGTACGGTCGATATACATGCCACACTGTATGATGTTGAATAGGTTTACGTCTAATAAAGTATGCTCTTTATATTATAGCTAATTTCTTACCTTTTTGAGTTTGGAGTTGTTCACCTGAATGAGAGCCTTGCTTCAAAAATTGTATGTTAACGTGTTCAATAGAGAATAAGTCTTACTGCCCAACGCAACATTGGCTGAATTTCTGTCGCTTTGGACCCAATTGGTGGATAACTCTATCTTGACTTATTTATTTGGCTTTGTCGCTTCCGGATCCGAGTCACTATATTATCAGGCCATATCAAGTCCTAATTTCACTGTGCTACTGTTCTAAATGTCGAAGAATGCGGCCAATAGAGGAATTGAAAAGGGTCTAAAATTTTTGGCTTTTGGAATATTGGTTGGTAATACTAAAGTAATAACTATCATTGGTACTTATGGATTATGGTTACGTAAAGACTATAACGGTAATGTAATCGAGAGCTGATGCGAGAGGAAACATTGTGCTGCTCTCTATCAGAAATTGAAACAATGCTGTCAGCCATGTAAGTAACCCTATAAGTCATTAATTGCTGTAGTTTTTTCCCAATTTCATTTACTAGAGGTTTTACATGTGAAGTTCTGAGACTTTAATTCCGTAAACATGTACCTAAGCGCATTGCGCGGCTACAAAATACTTAGAAATCAAAATTATATCAAGACATTGAATCTGATAGACGAATTTTGCAGATGCTGGTCATTGCGTAGCTAGAAGCAAGAAAGAGCATGAAAAAATTGTGCGTTATATTTGTAATACATTGCTGAAAGTGGTTTATTATTTACATATTTATATCAGTTATAATGTGATGTATGCTGGCCTTGTTAAAGAAAGGGAAAAAATACTATAATAAACCCTCTTTCGCATTCCATTTCTCATTCCGAAAGTTTGATATACGGATGTAAAGAACGTCGCTGACCCAGCGTAGAAATGTTCAGGAAACAACGTAAATTTCAAGAAAAGCTTTTGTAGCTGAGCCACGCAGACGCGTTTTACCCATAGAACAACAGTTAGTATGTTCTTGTAAATGAATGAGTAGTACTACCACACCAAGAGGAGATTTAATATAAGATGCTACTTACTATTTAACGTGATGCTAGGATATTAAATAAGAAAGCCTTCTTGAAATTGAATTTAGACTTCAGCGCAGACGTCACGTTATCTTATTATCCACAGCCTAGCAATTTTTCTACAAGATAGAATGTCATTATTTCAAAACATTTCGCCTCAACTACTTGAAAATCAGGTTAA